TTCGCCAGCACCCCGCTCTATTTCGTGTGGGAGAAGGTGATCGGGATGCATGACGCCAAGAGCATCTGCCTCCGCGCCCTCGCTCGTCTCCCGGTGGTCATCCCCATCTGGTTCCTGGCCATCATCTTCCCCTTCTTCGGCCCCATCAACTCCGCGGTCGGGGCGCTCCTCGTCAGCTTCACCGTCTACATCATCCCCGCCATGGCTCACATGCTCACCTACCGAACGCCATCCGCGCGGCAGGTAAGCTCGCTATTACAACCCCCCCTGTAGTTTGGATTTGATTGATGAACTATTATACAATGTATCCCACCCCACGAACCGGCTGTAGCTGCAGCTCATAACAGAGATGGTGTAGTGCGGGAGACTTGTGTCGTCCGACGACCGTAGAGAGTTCCCATTCTCATCTTTGCTGTTGTTGCAGAATGCTGCAGAGAAGCCTCCCTTCTTCCTGCCCAGCTGGACGGCGATGTACGCGGTGAACGCCTTCGTGGTGGGGTGGGTGCTGGTGGTCGGCTTCGGGCTCGGCGGATGGGCGAGCATGACCAACTTCGTGAGGCAGGTGGACACCTTCGGCCTCTTCGCCAAGTGCTACCAGTGCCCCAAGCCGCAGCCACCGCCCGCCCCTGCTCCTCAAATGCAGCAGCATCATCACTGATCGCCCATGGACTCCTCCCCTTCTTCCTCCTATTAATCTTTGGTTTGTCTGCTTCTATTTGTCGCCTGTAAGTTGCAAAGAGGGGTAGGCTCCGACGGTGGAATCTCCTGCCTCCCCCATTAGTGTTGGATGCTTTATGATGTTACTGACGTTGGGTGGTATACGACATGGCTGCTACCATGTTGTGGTTCAAAGAACAGAGTTGCCCACATAGTGACTTTGGTACAGAGCTTGGCCTGCACATGAGCACAGATGATAGCTTTTAGTGCACCGTCAAGCACATGGCCCTGAGTCCTACCACATGAGCATTCTTCGTTGGTTTAAGCATGTCGAAGGATAACGATGGCAACTTTCTCTCTCTCGATTGGATTCTCCTCTCCGTGGTCTCACAGTTTGTATCTGTCATCCGCCTACTCCGTCCCACAACTCACGTGTCAACTTTCTCTCTCTCTCTTCGTTCGGGGTTTTATAAATTCATAAAATTAATAATTTATATAATCAGAACTTTAATAATTCTTTTACACAATATATCAATTCAAATCCGTTTGACAATATTTCATTATATACAAAATATACTTATATAACAATCATAATATATCAATCAACAAAATTTATCGAAACTCTGAATAGCTTTTCACTGTCTCGACCTCAGCGAGTGACGAGCTAACCTGAAAGATTTATATAATAATTAAATGAGCTAAAAAATCTTAACAAATATATCTATAATAAAAAAGGTTATTTTTAAATAAATTTGATATCAAAATACAAGGTAGGGATATAAGAATTCATAAATATCATTTCGTTAGATATAGAATCATAAACGTCATTTCATTCAAAACATATATGGTTCATAACAAATGGAATAAAGAATAAGTGGAGTATAATAATGATGTATAAAATGTTTTGAAGTATATCAATGACATATGAAACATATATAAGCTTATCAATGAGGTATGAAATGTTTCGAAATATATTAATAAAAAATAAAACATTTTAGAGTCTATCAATGACGTATGAAATATTTTGAAGCATCTCAACGACATATATATATATATATATATATATATATATATATATATATATATATATATATATAT